TTGGAACGATTAGCGTGTGTGAGGCAGAATCCCTGCCTTCGGACAGCAGGAGATGGAGTGGTCGTTTGACGCATCCTAGTATATCTACCATGTATGGTGTACGTGGCGTGTAAACCTATTTGACTGGGCAGACTGTTCCGTAGGCTTGTGCTTATTGCAAAATCTTATTAAAACAGGTCGTACGCACTTTTGAAACACGTTCTAGGCTCGTCCAGCAGTCGTAATTTGGGTATGCAACCACGAACTGTGCCAGGGAAAGCAAATGCAAGTGTTCACACGATTTAGCCTGAAAGGCTAGTTCGTGCAACAACGTGTCTTGGTAGCGTCAAGGCCTGCGGTGCAGCATATCGTGCAGTGGTCTTTGGGTTAGGTACAGTCCTTGAGATGGATACCAAAAAATAAACGCGTGCTATGAAAATGCCTAGTGGCCGCGTGCACTACGACCGCCCGGCTCAGGGAGTATGATTGGCAGCAAAGCATGCTTTTCTCTCGGCATGCGGTTAACATTTTATTCGCCTTGATGTACGTTACTACGGTGTTGTAGATGTAGTGCGACAGAAAATAAATATGCAGCATCGGGAGCAGCAGAAGGCCTGTGCTGGCTGAGACAGGTTGTTGAACGAAGCGCGCCATTGTAGGCCGACTCAGCAAAGTATCAAATGCAAATGTCAGGAAGGAGCTACATTGTGGCCCAAGGCACGCGCCAGATTTCTGTGCTGCTGTGGTAGAAAANGACGATCCCTTGAGAGCAAAGTGCATGCTACGTATTAAATTTATTACCGTCTGATTAATCTGTGAATGGTAATGCTGTAGTTTCTGTGTCAGAAGAACGCGCATTCTTCACGCCTGAGTAACGGCCAGACGCTTTCCGCCCCCTCCCCCCCACCCCCCCCGTATGTTGCCTGGTAAACCAAAACATTGAACACCGCAGGCGTGGCTATGGTGCAGTAAACAGGAGATATCCGAGTGGCTTATATTGCGCCCGATGTGCACGATCCAATCGCCACGGCTGGATATGCATAGTCTCACTAGACACGGGAAATTCGCGGAGCAAGTAGTGCGCATGCATACCGCCTGGCCACAATCCGGAGCATTTTTCTGAAGTTGTGTGAAGATTGGCGTGCAAGCGGATTCTAGGTGAACTGCAACAAGGTTGTTGATTTCTTAGGTCTGGGGTTTTGCTGTGAAGTGGATCAGTGCACTGTTTCCAGTGTGCAGCTTAGGAGAGGGCCGTGCCAAGCAGTATATGTCTCAGTCCACGAGCGTTTTGCTGCAGGTCAGCCTCCTGCGCAGCCTGCCGTAGTGCAGACCGTGCCGAGCATGCATCTAAAAGAAGCTGGCGCCAGGCGCAAGTGTCAGTCCTAGCCAATGAGCGCACTGCACTGTCACTCTCGTCTTCGTGCATGAGTGCTCAGCTATGTCATGCATAAGTGCCTGGGCGACAACCACGGACATACGTGAACATTCAAGTGGAAAACACCAAAACGAAATGTACCATGGCTCTTTGCTGTCCTGTGTACGCGATTGTCCTGCTAGATAGCTAGGCAAATAATGCGGATACGGGCTGCCCAACTTGCCAGTTGTGGATGTCGCGGGGCACAGAAGAAGGGGAAAATGAGAGAAAGCACTCCGTTTGTCAGGTGTGTCCTACCCTGCAGTACAATTTGTACGTGAAAGACGGCTTTTTAAATGTCTTTTGTTTTTTCGTGCGGTGGGCTGCAAAGGGGATATAACCTGCGCATGTTGTGCCGCAGTTGTGAAGTTGCTGTGCAGTGACTAACCAGCAATATGAGCAGTAGCCACTACGGAGATCGGAGTTTAGACTGTTGGCATTGAGTGGCACGAGCAAGGGGCAGCACTGGAAACTACGTTTCGTTCGCAAGGGTGACGTGCGTCTCGGTCGACATGCTACACTGATACGGGCAAAATGGATTCTTGTACGCAATATCAACATCTATCGCAAGCGATATATCTTGGAGCGGGGATGGAAACGTTACGTGCGCAAGCCAGAGGTACTAAAGCATACCTGAGTTACTGGAGATATTGGATATATTCATGCCAGCTGAACAGATACAAAGGTGCTTAAGAAAGCAACTCATACAAATGCTTACTCTAACCCCGAGATGACAGCCATTGAGAAAAAAGAGTTGCTTTCTATACGCATATGCAGCTGGGAAAGGACGCGGTAAGAATGAAGACTTCCAGTTCCGCACTTGACCGTCGACTGGGTAGATGCAACAACATTTGAAACATTAGTTGCTGGTCTGATTGCTTAGACTGCGCACTTGTGCGGATTTCCGTTAATGCCTGTTAGCTTGAAGATCAGCATAATTCTCGTGGATTGGCACTGAAATGCAATTCTTTCGGTGCAGCTTCTTCCATTGGTTTTAGATGGTAGGAAAACGAGTGCCGCAGGCCTATCTGTCTTTTGTGATCCACGAAATGCGTGAAGGACTAGGGCCTGTTGCATTAACTCTGGGTAGAGAGGAGGCTTCAACTGCTCCGAATGTTTAAGTTCGATAAAACCTCGATTGCATGTAACCTTACCAGAGGTGTTTATGCATCCTTTCCTGGACAGTTGTCGCTACTTTTTTACATGAGTGTGCAAAACTTGAAATATTATCGCGCTTTAAATGGGGTATCATGTCTGCATGACGTTGTTAGTACCTTGCAAGTAACGTCAATATATACATGCTAGTTCACAGCTCAATACCTGCTTCATGCGGATGAGGCTGGAGTGGGGCGACGTCGCTAGGCGAAATAGCAAGCATGGCAGTTTTAACTCAACTACGGCGCCTGTAGCTAGAGAGCGCCGCGCAAGGCCAGCACCGGAACAAGGGCCGATGGAGATAGCTTTGAAGATAAACTGGCGGTTTAGGCCCTGTCATAAGATCACGGCGCGGGTATAACAAAGGACTTTGACAAAAGTGCATCGACAGGACGTCGAGCGCATCTCAAAGCCATTGCACTATACCAATTCATCTCCCATTGGAATCGCTCGTCCAAATGTTCGAGCTACGAGGATAGGCAGCTTTGCTCTTCCATAAGGGGTTCCTCAAGTGCTTGTGTGTGAATCAGTCCTGCAGGCACTCATGCATCTGAAAGGAAGGAGCTCAGATTGTCGTGAAAACTAGGCATGCGGATAATTGTGCTGTGACAAATTGCAGACTGAATAACCGGTACACCTAATTTTGCTTTGTGTTGTTTATGTTGCATGGCTTGGCACATCCCATTTTTGCTCAGCATGTGGCCCAGGATTGTCGTCGTACTGCTTCGTTAATACGCAGAAGGACAGTAGCCTGCCTAAGGTGCACTTTAGACAGTTGTGTGTAAGTTCAGGGGATGGCAGCGCGCGGACGTTGGAAGGTTCGGCTCACACAGCTTCGAGCCCTTGGTCTGCGTCACCGAAGAGAGTAAGCCGCATATTCGACTGCGGTACGAGCAACGTGTCCNTTCGAGCCCTTGGTCTGCGTCACCGAAGAGAGTAAGCCGCATATTCGACTGCGGTACGAGCAACGTGTCCCTCATTCACGAACCATTCTCCGACATTTGGGCATCGAGCACTTTGGACGCGGCAAAGCGCCTTGCCTGCGTACATTAGGGAGCACGGAATTCACGGAACGCATTGTTGCAAATGCTCTTGACTGCAATCATATTCTGACGGTTTACACCTTGAACATGCAAACAAGGACCGTTTGCTGATTGCCTCTGGGTGGGAGGCAAACATCTTGGATCGCGTCTGCCGGAAGCGTGCAAGGCAAGTGGACATGATGGCGGCTGCCTTTGCAGGGCATTAAGGCCTTCATCCTCTCTGGAGCGTCAGTTTTGGCTATCTGCTGCAAAAAAATGAAACCAACGAGGATGCTGCTGCTCATCGGTGTGGGCTTGTAATTTTCGACCGCCATATTCTGTAGCGACGCGCCCAGTCGATTCTGGGCACTTACGTATTTCTGTGCAACGGCTTGCTGCGTTGGCTTGTGCTTACCCGGATGACGTTAGTCCTGAATTGTTTCCCAACCACATTAAGCCGGGTGTAAAATCCAGATGGGATAATCCCAAACGCACAAAAGGCTAATGTGGCTTACATNTGCCACCATATCTCCGAAGTAGGAGATGGACACTCACCACACCACGTTTTAACGGCCTTGTAACCGGTATGATTATTGTGGTATTTGAAACTTTGAGCAAGCACCCGATGCACGTATCCGTAGCACTTTCCTTAACGCAGTCAGTATGCTACTTTCCGAGCTAGCAAGTTGTGATTTCTGCCCAAGGCAGTGTTGGCGCAGTGGGTACAGCACAGCAAGGATCCAGGAGGAGCCTTCCACTCGAAGGCGTGCACGAGCTGCCCTATACACTGTAGTGATAGTTTCACGCTGCTCAGACTTCTTAACATCCAAGATGATATAGAATTTGGAATTGCGATCAATGTTTTAGTTGTCCTTTTTGCAAGTGGAAAATAATGCATGACCTTTCCTATCGTGGAAGACCTTTTGGATCTCGGCGAATTATATTTTAGTAGTATTATAAGAGTGGAATGGGGCATCGTGATGCTCTGTCGCGATCCAACAGATTTTTCCAGAAGGACCCATACAATTTGATCCTTCGCGTTCAACAACGAACAGTACTTAGCGGGGATTGGAATACTTCCGTCAGCAAGAGGCTCCGGGTTCAAACCCCAGGCCGCCAAATTGAATTAAAAGTTCCTGGAAGCGATGCTGCAAATGCTGAGCTTATGGGAACGATAAATGCTTGTTTGCACGGCGCTTTGCATGCTAATTACCTCCTCACTTGTTGGTCGAGCCTCACCTGAGCCGAATCCGATGAAACAACGGAAATGGAGTTTGATTGATGCGGTAAAGTGGCCAGGTAGATAGGATACACTCCTGCTATGCACAGATGCGCGCACAACACGTGAGAGAGCAGCAAGCAAATCACAAGACGTTCGTATACGGTAGGGTGTCAGGATGTTTACCCTGACGCCGGGCGTTGCGGAAATCATGAACTGTGAGCCAGAAAATATTGTGTACAGAGCTTACACTTTTTTCCATTCAACATTGGAAGGAGCAGGGACTGCGCAGAGTGAGTTACCACCTGAAGATCCGATAGAATTGTTGCTAGGTGCACAGCAGGCTTTGTGGTTGGTATTCAACCCGTCACTTTTAACGGGAGTGTTGCCGGTTGCCATGACGGTCGAAGAGACCGCCGATTCCCAGGAAGGCGTTCAGCGCCAGTACGATGAGCCGTGGCGTTACCTACGTAAGCAAGAAGGCGTTGTTNGTTTTGCGTTGCAGAACGTGCGAATCTGCCTGTTGCATGGCAACCTTAGCTGTGAAAGATATTGCCGAACGTCTTGTGATATGCTTATTGCTCTCTTCCATGTTCTGCGCGCATCTGCGCATAGCTACAGTTCTTTCCGCATGTGAAGTACACCACAGCCGTAACTTCGAAACGGCGGCGCGCTGGTCTCTTGTGGGTCTGAGCGATATCCAACCTTTGGGATTTTCTGTGAAGAGTCCAGGAAATTGCGGAAAAAATTCTTTCTTCCCAAACGTTTGCGCTGCTGTTCAACTGGGTGGTACCCAAGCAAAGATGGCGTTGCTTGCTGTGCTCTGCAGGAAGTGCGAATATGCCCCATGCGGCGAAAACAGTGGCAATGGAACATGTCAGCGAACGTTGTTTGATTATGGCAACTGCCCTCCTGGTTTGAACGCTTATCTGTGCATACTGCGCATGCGTTTCGCTTGCGCAGTATATGCATCAGATAGATCGAAGCTAGCAGGTGCGGATGCTCTGGTGTAAGGACAGAGGCTACGACAGCTTCACCCTTTGGATCGAGGCAATCGACGAGGTTGCCTTCTAGACTTTTGTGCGGCTTGGAAACTGGGTGCACATCGTGTAGAACCCTAAAACGGTCGTGTATTCGTTGTATCTTCGAACCGTTTTAATCGAGAAACGGAGCGGCTGCCAACAGTGAGCAGGTCTTCGGCAGCTGAAGCGTTTCTAGTGGCTGCGGTAGTATCACCATCTTTTTCAGGAGTGCACATACGCACCGGATTTCTAGTTTTGTTTATTTAAGTTTGCTTGAATGACCTTTGGTCGCTTCGTATGACAAGATGCTGTCCCGTGCGAGCGGTGCTTGTCATCATTTAGGGGCGCATATGCGTTTATAAATATACCCCCGCTTTTTCGACTGTTGGCACCAAAATTGCCATTGAAGTTACGGAATCCCTTGCTGGTAGCTGATTGCTCTAGCAGGCTGCTACTTATCTGGTAGA